CCCCTCCCCCTCTTTTCAGTATTACAATAAAACCATTCTATACTTTGGGCATGTTGTGAGGAGGGATATTCCTTGGAAAGGAACATCATGCTTGGAAAGGTGGAGGGTCAGAAGAAGAGAGGAAGACTATCAAGGAGATGGGTTGACACAGCACAGTGACTGCAGCAATGGGCTCAAGGGTGTCAGAGAGTGTGAGGATGGCCCAGGATAGGACAGGGTTCAGATCTGTTGTTTTTAGGGTCGCTATGAATCATACTCAACTCAATGGCACATAAGAACTACACACGTCTATGAGGACTTCTGGTCTCCAACTGCCCTGATGCTTTTTCATGGCATACCACCCTCTCCAGGTGGTCTGTTACAGAATGAGTGCTGCTGGGGAGGGATTTGGCATTCCACACTTTGTGTTTCTAGTTGTCGTCAAGTCAGCTCTGACTCAGGAGGGTCTCGTGTATTCTGTGGTCCCACATCATCTTACGGATCACTTGATCATTTCAGTCCACTGTGATCATTATATCATCTCCACTCATTAAGAGTGTCTTGCTTTTTTGTGGGCTGTGTACTTCATCAAATACTTGTCCTTTTCTAGTGATTGATTTTTCTTGATGACACGTTCAAAGTATCCGAGTTGATGCTGCGCCATTCTTGCTCGTAAGGAACTTTCTATTCTGGTGGGTGTAGTTGTATAAAGAGGCATGGGGGCTGGATGGAGCCCTTTACTTAGGACAGCTCAAAAAGAGAGATTTAATGCCACACACAAAGCTTCAGGCCCAGTGGCAGGTGGGAGGCGAGCTGCTGCTGAGGGTAACAGGGGTGATTGAAAGTGGTGGGGAGTGCGTGTTCTTTAAACAAGGAACACACGCAAAAGGCTAGGGAGTAAGCCATCATGCTAAGAGGTAGCAGGGTATGTGAAATGAGCAAAGATCATGAGTGCAGATGTCAGAGCAGGGGTTCAAGTTCTGGTTCTGCTACCTGGGAAAGTGATATGACCTTGGACAAGTGATATAATCTGCAAACAGGAACAATATACCCATCTCTTGATGGTGGTGATGAAAAAGAAAATAATCTACATCATGCTTTCAGAAGAGCACCAGCTCCTTTTAACAGATCAGCAAAAGACAAACAATATCACTTCTAGCACTTTGCATGTCACACACCACATTAGCTCACTTGAGCTTCACAGCAGCCCTGTGAGGTGAGCAGGGGAGATCTTTTGACATTTTTCTCATTTTACCAATAAGGAAACGGAGATACTAAAGATTTACACAACTGCTTTGTTTGAGGGCTACCGTGAGGGATTCTCAAACCCTCAATTTGGGTGGACCTTCCTCTAACATGCATTGCTGCCAATCTGTCAGTTTGTGGCAGTGTGATGGTTTCTATGGTGCCAAACTTGCTTGCAGGCAACCTTGTTGATATTTCAAATTCTCATGGTGGACAAATTTCAGCATAATTTCTGGATTAAAAAGACCTACTTCAAAAAATCATCCCAGGAAAATCCTACGGATCACAACAGAGTATTGTTGTCTGAGATAATGCTGGCAGATGAGCCCTTGGCTTGGAAAACACTCAAAGCATGTAGTGGCAGCAACAATGGACTTGGGCCTACCCATGGGGGTGAAGTGCTTGCCCAGAAGGACTGGACCACAGTTCTTTCTACTGTATATGGGGTTGTAATGCATCAGAGCTGAGTCAACACTGACATAAAAACTTGAGGTACGTGAATGTTGAGTTTTTTCAGCACTTAGAAAATGAGGGTCAAACAACTATGAGATATCATCTCAACCCAGTCAGAATAGCAAAATTTAACAGGACAGCAAGCAACAAATGCTGGCGAGGTTGTGGAGAAACTGGAACCCTTATTCACTGTTGTTGGGAGTGTAAAATGGTGCAACCACTGTGGAAAATGGTGTGGCACTTTCTCAAAAAGTTGCAAATTGACTCAACAATTCCACTACTGGGAATATACCCTAAAGAGACCATAACCGACATCTAAGCAGCTATATGCACACCCATGTTTATCGTGGCTTT